ATATATATATATATATATATATATATATATATATATATATACATATGTGTATATGTGTGATAACACCAACAATAACAGTGATGAATACAACACACATATAACAAGCAATGTTAAACAACAAATCAATATTTATTCGTAAAGTATACATGTCGGAATCATTAGCAACATTGTAAAAATGGCCATAAAATGTTAATATTTTTTTTTTACGTTCTGGAATATTTTGTAACAAAGAACGACATAATACCCACATTTTAATACTTTGAATTAATTATTCAGCTATTCTGTCATGTTTTCCTTGTGTTTAGATGTATCAGGTTATATTATGTTATCTCAGTTGACGTCACTGCAAATGTGGCATTCCCATGCATGCTCAGTCCCCGATGCAGCATCCACTCCAAGGTGGTCCGATATGAGCAATACAATTTAAAAAGTTATCAGTAAGGTGAACAGGTCAAGCATGTAAACGGTGATGACACAGTACGTTTGAGAAATGATGGCACAATTACAAGTCTGCTTCCCCACAATGGAGAAAGGCTGCAGTAAATTTGAGTATCAAACTGCTACTTTTGGGAATATTACCTGGTAACGTAGACAAATGATGAGGATACACTGGACAGATAAAAAGAGTTAAGAAGATGTGTTGAAAGAAAATGAATCTAGAAGAGAACTGATTGCCCGCAGAAAGAGACAATTTACATTCTTTGGTCCTGTGATGAGAAGGAGAAAACTAGGGTACATTGTGACAGTAGGACAACTAGAGGCGATGAGAGGCAGTTGAGACCGAAAAAAAAAAGATGTTTGTTCATTGCAATTGATTTTGTAAAGCCGACAAACTATTTTTTTTTCTGTCACCCCCGACCCTTTTTTCTTTCTTTTTTTTTCTATAATTTCCTATCCTTTTTAAAAAAACATTATGGCATGGAGGATCATCCGTGTCAGAGCTGACTGAAAGTACACGAGACAGAAGGTTGTGGACGTCACATGGCGTGGTCTAAGAAGCAGAAGGCCTCAACTTCTTTCACAGTACAAGTTTCTCAGCACTGACCGAAAGCCAGTGAGGAAGTGAATGGTTTTTCCTATCCACGATTGCAGTCTGTGAGACTAATGTCTCACGGATAAGAATCAAACATGTGCAAACTCCATAAACCGCGTTCTATCGTATAAACACAAATCTCATTTATCCTGAGCTCGACAAAACGGTTACGAATAAACCCGCAATCATGTCTGATTTCCTCTGGTTAATCTACGGAAAGGGTCTGCTACTGTACTAGGAAACGGTGCATCTAGGACTGTGAAATGCTTACAGCAACCTATAAGCCACATAGCCGCTGCACGTAAACTAACGTCTGCCGCAAAATACCCGAATTAGTGTGTGAACAATATGCTCACCAACCAATATACCTGGCATTCCATGTTTGAATCAAATTATTATTTCATTGTACACTAAAAAAGACCAAGTGACTAATCTTTTACGAAATTGAATCACCGCTTTTTGAGAGTTTTTGGGCGGATTTGTTGGGTACAAATACGGTCATGTTCTCAATGGTGAGAAATATAATATGTGTAAAATGTGGCGATTTTCACGTAAACTTTTATTTTTGGGTCAATACGGTTCTCTTTACGTTTTCCGCCCAGAAAGAGAGTGACGTCCCATTCCTTTCATGCTTCGTCGTGTCGCAGGACCCGTCTTAAGTTGCGGGGGTGTCACGCTTAGTAAGCGTCCTGTAGCAGGTAGTATTTTACTTGTTGTTGTTAACAGCCGGCGATATCACCTGTTCTATATTCCACGACGTGAGCGCTTTTAACGTCTCAAAACATAAAGAACTGGCGCTAAACCTAACCTTCCTACCCTAAAGCCTCAGCTTACGTCCCACCAGAAAGTGCAGACTACGTCTCACGACAGAGTGCAGCTTATGTCCAACGACTGCATGCAGCCTATAATATACGCTGCATACAGTCGTGCGACCCTGGCTGCAAGCAAACGTGGGATGTAGGCTTAGGCGGGGATGGGGGAGTGGGGGGGGGGGAGGTTAGAGTCAGTTCTACAAGTTTTGAGGCGTTAAAAGCGCTCACATCGTGGAATATAGAACACGCGATATTGCCGGCCATTGACAACAACAAGTAAAATCGTGACAGACACCCTACATAGAACGCGCCCTGTGACACGACAAGGCATGAAAGGGAAGGGAAGTCACTCCTTTTTCTGGGGTGGAAAACGTAAAAAGAACAGTCAATACTTTTCACAAGACTATGACATGTTACCCCGTTAAACGCCCAAAGAGGTTATACTTAAGGCACCTGTAACTGCAACACCAGCCAGGTGTCACTTACAAGACTTTTGGGTAAGGACATTGACTGATCTCTAATAAAAACGAGTCAACTACTATCGTATGTTCAGGTTTAGGTTTGGACGACGGATCAAAATCATGACACAGCGGGTAACCCATTAGTGCTCCGTTTGACTTCTAACTCAAGTCCGAAGAATCTCAGTGCAGTGCACGAAATCCGTAGCACAGGCGAGGATCCTCAAATATTTTGGTATATTTTAAACTAAAAATTTTGCCGGGCAGCGCCGTTAGGCTACTCTTTTCGATTTCCAACTGCCAAAGGATTTTTGCACGTGCGCAACAATACACACGGGCGTCCGTTTTTACTACCCAGAGACCAGGGGGAATTACTAGAAGTCCACGTAAAACAAATTCCAGCTTTCACCGGGGTCTGAACCTGGGATCTCCAACAGAGGCGGAAACTTTCATATGTCTGAAGCTTCCCTGGGATGCAAAGGGTCGTTTATTTTATGTTGACCTTACCAGCATGGTAATATCCAGTGTCTTCTCGTGTAACACAAAACATCGTTTTTACTGTCTTTAATTCATCTTCACTTTTTATAATCGTCTTACTCTCGTATGGCATTCTTTTTAGAAACAGTACCTATGTTGTTAAGATATACTGCTGCATTCTAACGAGATGTCTCAACCATTTGCTCGTCTGTTGCCAAGAATAACAGGATGAAATCAAACATAAAAGTGCCTTAGAGTTATGCAGCTGCCATCAAGAAAGAAGAATTTGGTAGAGAAATATCAAACATGGGAGACGCGGTTGTGAAGCGGCTAAAGACTGCCATCCACCCGACTTTCGTGTGTACGAATCCGTATAGAGCAGGATTTTCGGTTGAAAAAAATGTTCTGGCCCCCAGGTTGACCTTAAATGGGTATACCAGGTAATGTCCTGGGAAGTAAAGACGGTCAGCGTGATGCTGATCGCATCATTCTTTTTCTTCTTCTTTCCTCTACTCCTGGAATGCCTTACTGGGTCAGTTTAGATAGAGGTCTCTAAGACAGGGCCCTTCTGTTCTAGTTTTCAGTGTCTGAAATTTTTGCAGTCTATATCTGTGTGGTTGACCTATATACTGTCGTCACTGTTTCTGTAAAACATTGCTCTCTGTGATGCCCTGTCTTATGCCAATCTTGGTATATGGTCAAACCATTCAATTTGTTGTCTTCCGATAAACTTAAGTATTGTCCCCCCCCCCCCCAACTGATATCTTCCCCTGATATTATTGTATCCGCACCTTCCATAAGTCTATTTTTAAAAAGGGTCTTGTCCATTTACGAGTATCATAAACATTCAAATATTATGGTCACACGCAGACATTTACATCAAAACTGTTATTCGTGGCCTAAATGCTAAGATGCAGCCGACTGTTGAGAGGAAATGTGTCTCTTTCAACTGACTTTACTAAATCTGAAGGTGTAATTATGAAAGTGCTCATGTTTTATTTTTTTAATTCTCTCTGATAAAAGGGCACCCTATGACTCATTTCCTTGCAAGTCTTTTGCTATCAGTGCCAGAACTCGATTTTGGCAGAACAAATGAGATAAGATTTCTGCGAAAAGCTCTTAATGTAACAAGAACAGATAAGATCAGAAACGATGAAATCTGAAGGAAAATAGGGTTAGCCGCAATTCTGGATTTTATTATAAAACAAGTGAAATGAGTTGACCATGTAACAAGGATGCCAACAAACAGAAAACTGGAGCAAGCAATGCTGTACATGCCAGACGGGAAGCGAAGCAGACGATGACCGTGCAAGCGATGGACAAAGGGAATAGCAAAGTCTATGGGAATCCCCATTTACAAAGCGCACAAACATGCACTTTCCGGTAAACTATACTTCACCTCGAATTCGCAATGTATATTTGCTGATTAAGATTAGATGAGATAAGATTTCTTTCCGTCTTCTTCATCTTCTTTTTCTTCTTTTGTCGTCTCATCGATGCCAGCTTGTAGCCCAGTGTCGTATTTTTCTGTATTTGTCTTGCGCTTCTCGGGTGGTTTGGGTGATGAATTTGTTCCTCCTTTTGCAGGCTTCAGCTACACCATTTATCCATATTTTCTTCATCTTCCTCTCACCTTCCTCCCAGATGTTCTGCTGTAAAAAAAAAAATCTCATATGCAGTTTAGTCTAGCTGCATTCTCACTAGATTGCTTCACCAATTTATTCATTATCTGTCAATATAATCCAGACATGGTCTAATTTCAACTTTCTCTCTAATGCTGGTATTCGTAGCCCTGTCTCTACTTGTGTTGTTAGTGACCTTGAGGAGACTGCATATTTCACATATAGTTATTTTCTGTTCTACTGCCCTGTCTGATTAATCGTAGTAAAGTCAACTTCTACGTTTCTTCCAGCGTGGTCACTTTACGTTTTACCTAACCAATTAAAACTATTCAAAGTTCTCATACCGGATTTTAACACAATTTATAGTTATTTGTCCATGTTTAAAGTAAAAGACTCTTTATACAATGAAATAAGCCATATGTCAGTCACATTTATGAGATTCTATTTTTCTAGACCATTAATATAACAGTGCAGACATTTAGATGTAAGGCAAAAAGTCTGTCATCAGTTTAGTCAATCTAAAAACTAAAATCTGATCAGAAGCTAAAAGTTAAAGTTTTCCCCCCCTAACATCAGACGCATGGAATACATAGCGCTATTAACATTTATTTAGACAAAACCATGTAATTTTAAACACATTCTTCTCCACACGGAAGATGCAACAAAACCATGTAATTTTAAACACATTCTTCTCCGCACCGGAAGATGCAGCAGAAAACCTTCGTGCTGTGATTTGTCTATAGAAGCATATTACTACAATCATGTACACAATCAGTCTTAGAGATGCAGCAGAACACTTTCGTGCTGTGATTTGTCTATAGAAACATATTACTACAATCATGTACACAATCAGTCTTAGAGATGCAGCAGAACACTTTCGTGCTGTGATTTGTCTATAGAAACATATTACTACAATCATGTACACAATCAGCTTCAGAGATGCAGATGCAGCAAAACACTTTCGTGCTGTGATTTGTCTATAGAAACATATTACTACAATCATGTACACAATCAGCCTCAGAGAGTGAAAAGGCATCCTTTCCATACGACAAGACGTCTTAGCACAAGACTCACAACATGTTACCTTTTTACACATTGCAGTCCCTGTGTCACTCAGGAATGAGGGGTGAGATAGTCCAGAGAAAGTCGAAGTCACTGTCTGCACATGGGATTTCATGGAGTCTAGTGGTAACAGTACCTCACGATAGCAAACACTGGAGCTGCAAGGGCCATAACTGATATAAGCTGGCGAGGCACAGAGTTGATGATGTCCCAGTCACGTCCCCCTGAAAATTCAATAATAATGTAATAATCTCAGTTCAGAATTTATGATGACTATTTGAAATCTCTTTCATACTCCCCCACCCCCCCCCCCCCCCCCCAAAAAAAAAAACTGGTCCAGTGGAAAATAAGTAAAAGTAAGCAAAGATCCATTTTCACGCCTTTAGGCGTATCGGGCATATGAGAAGAGCGCCCATATTTTTACAGATCATCAGCACTCTGTGGGTAATGGGGTCAGCATTACGCCGGCTGTCTTTACTTTCCCAGGACTGCCCATCCTGGTACCGATTTTAGGCTGGGTCGATCGCGTTACGTCGGTATTACGAGTCGGACTCGCAACGCCTTAGCCACAGTGGAGTATGGAGAACATCAAACAGTTAGTTTCACAAGTCAGGTAACTAAAATTGTATTGAGAAATATCATAAGAAGAATAAGGTGTAATATAAAACCGGAAATTACTGAAGAGCTGTGTGGTTTTGTTGAAGGTAAAGGCACAAACAACACTTATAGTGGTTTGACTCAAGCGTTGTCCCCATATAGGGTGTAATTTTTAGTTATTTGAAGCCTCACCCTGGCTTTTGCCAGGGGTCCTAAATTAAGCCAGGCCTTAAAAAATGGCCTAACAGCTGAACGGGGTTTCAAGGACCCCTCCACGAGTGATCCTCATCCGCATGGTGGCACGTTGTGTCACCGGGTTTGTATCCCCTGTGTGATGTCCTGGTGGGGTACAACTTACCTACAAACGACGCCATTTTTATCTTGATATTACTTTCAGAAGGGAAAAAAATGACTGTAATGGGCAGAGGTCTGTATTTGTGCTTCATCGATTACACTAAAGCGTTTAATAAAGTGAAATTTAAGAAATTATTATAATTTTGGAAACCGTAAACACTGATGGTAAAGATATAAGAATAATTTAAAATAAAACATACTGGCAACAAGAAGCAGGCATAAGGATTCACAACCAAGCTGGAACTTCTCAAAACATTAAATAAGGCGTTAGACAGGAATGTGTACTATCAACCCATTTATTCAATGTGTACAATGAAATAATCAATTAGAATCAGAAATGGAATGCCATGTATATTGGTTGGTGAGCATATTGTTAACAATCTGCGATATGCTGACGATGAAGATTTGATTGCTGAAAATAAAACATAACTGCAAGAAATGAAAAATATAATTGTAACGGAAAGTGAAAACAAGCGTCTTATTTTGAACATAAGTTATGGTAATTACAAAGAAAACTGACCCTCCAAAATGCAACAACAAAGTAAATAAGACAAATCTCAAGCAAATGATGGGCTTATGTACCTGGGTACCCTGATAAAATCAGATGAAAGAGGTATCAAAGAATTTATGTTAGAAGAGCCAAGCAAAGGCAACATTTTACCAAACGAAAAATATTTTATGCAGCCTTTCTTTAGTTCAGTTGAGACGAAAAAAGTGAATTCTTAAAAGATATATCAATCCTGTCTTGATATACGTAAGTAAATCATGGACAGTAAGTGAATTAGTGAAAAAAGTATTTTAAAACTGCGGGGATTTGGTTTTATAGACGAATGATGAGAATACCACGAACAGATAAGGGTAATGAAGATGCCTTGGAAGAAACTGGCTAACGAAGAGAACTGATGGCTCATAACAGAAAGAGACAATCTACAGTCTGTGGTCATGAGATGAGAAAACATCGTGATAGTAGGAAAGGCAGAGGGAGACCGAGAGAAAAGATTCTGGACAGTTTCACACCATAGCATGGCTAATCATCTGTTTTATGTTTGATTGAAAGTACTCGGAACAGAAGGTTGTGGACAGACATTACTACCAAGGTCACACGGCATGGACTTTTAGAAAAAAAAGGACGGAATATTTAGCTTCTCATAAAGTAGGAATACAGCACTACAAACACACATCTTATGGATTAAATGAGTATAGACTGCTCCAAAAGTGGTGCCAAGCTTTAGAAGTTTGTAACCCAGTAACCTTCCTCTTCTTCTTTCCTCTAATTCTGAAAAACCTCTCAGCGTCAGGGAAAGAAAAAAAAAAGATATTCTATTTCTGCATTCCATGTTTTGTGTGGTCAATCTCTGGCTCTGTTATCGCTGTATCTGCATAAAATTGCTCTTTGTGGTGCCCTGTTTGATGCCAATCTTGTTACATGGTTAAATCACTTGATGTGTTGTCTATTGATACAGTTCAATACTGGTTCTGTGCCGACTATCCCCCTGATATCGTTCCTAAGTCTGTGTTCCCTTATTACACCTAGTATAGTACGTGAACATTTCATTTCTGTCCTGACTATTTTCCTTTTGTCTTCTAACGACAAGTCTTTATCTTTAACACTGATAGCATATCATTGGTAAACCAGTAACCGTTCAGTGTAAATTGTTGACATTTAGCGTACAGCCTGTTAACAGTAACGTCCTTTTAGGAAATAACTACAATGTAAACAAACATCTGCGGCGTTCGTGGCTTAGGCGTTGCGAGTCGACTCGTAATTCCATCGTACTGCGATCGAAACCCACTGCTGGCTGCGTGGATTTCTATCATGGTATGGGGCGTCGCAGGTCGACCCAGCCTAAAATGGGTACCATGATGTATGTACCAGGGAAGTAAAGACGACCGGAGTAATGCTGACCACTACAACCCACCTAGTGCCGATTGGTTTGTAAAAAAATGGATGCTCTTCCCTGTGCCGGATGCGCAAACATGGGATTATAATCATTTTTTTTTTTAACTGTTGTTGTTGAAACGAACAGCTAGTTTGGGTGGTATATGAAAAAAGCAAACACTGATTCAAAACATACACTTAGTATGATCACAGTAAATGGCTTGAGACGTAGTTGAAAAAAACATCTAATGAACGCATCTTGGAGATAATCCTTGCGAGAAATTTAAGGAAATTTAATTTTATTTTGAATAAGAAAGTGGGCACGTCATTCACTGCCATAATGCTTGTTGATTTAGACGACGCACCTTGATATCAAAATAAGTAGTTATTTTACTTGTAGTCTGGTAAAAAGACAGACAGCTAGAGAGACAGACATCCAGAGGGCCAATCACAAAGATAGGCAGGTATGCATTAAGATAGGCAGAAATAAATAACCACACATACACACAGGGAGAGAAGTAGAGACAGAAATAGGGAAAGAAAGAAAGAAAGAAAGAAAGAAAGAAAGAAAGAAAGAAAGAAAGAAAGAAAGAAAGAAAGAAAGAAAGAAAGAAAGAAAGAAAGAAAGAAAGAAAGAAAGAAAGAAAGAAAGAAAGAAAGAAAGAAAGAAAGAAAGAAAAAAAGAAAGAAAGAAAAAAGCAAAGAAAGAAAGACAGTAAGAAGGAAAGAAAAAAAAAAAGAAAGCAAAGAACGAAAGAAAGAAAGAAAGAAAGAAAGAAAAAGAAAGAAAAAGTTAAAAAAACATCCCTGACTTATGAATAGGTGGATTCATGGTCAGATGGATGTGTATATGCATTATTAAAAAGATCAACAAACGAACAACATACAATTTTGCTTCATCGATTCGATTTTCTCTTGCAACGATGTCCTGAGATCTGTCCCGGCCACGTCGTTCGGACATTCCACGTCTTCCACACAGGACTCGTACTTCAGAAGGTTGTCCCTATTGGTGGAGAGACAAAAGTTGAACTCACTTTATACATCAGTCAACATATTCTCGTCACATAGATCATTTATCCCACTACATACAGATTATTACAGCCTATTAATTCCAACATTAAGCTACCAGTGTCAAATATGGACACTATCTAAAGCCCATATATGCAAAATCACCACCTGCGAGATGAGGTGCCTGAGAAAAGCAGCCAACCTAACCATCCGAGATCGAGTGAATAATGAAACTATCAGGCAAACTGTTGGAACGACACCTTGTACTAGATTCTTAAAGAAACAGCAGATCAACTGGTTTGGCCATCACAAGCACTACATCTCAGAAGATCAGCTACAAGAGCAAGAGGACGGCCTCGCAAACATGGATCAATAACATTAAAGGCACTCTACGCCTTCACGGGATGACAATAACCAGTGGCAGCCAACGTGCACTGGATCGCAAGTTATTCCCCATCCCCCCTCCCACGTCGCTTAACGGCAGAAGTGGTTAATGAAAATGATGATGGTCCAGCTACATATCATATTATACCCTTATACCCACTACACACACACACAGTCAGCTCTGTGGCTAACTCGATGCGAACGCTTCGTAATGCCGGGGTGCCGGGTTCGATGCCAGCTGCGGGCCATGCGCCCTGCGTTGGTTTCTACAGTGGTATCAGGTGGCCGACTGTCGAGAAAGCAATGGCAAACAACTGGACGTAAATTCGCCTAGAGAAACCACACAACAGCCAGGGGCTGCTGGGGTTGGTTCTGCAACGTCCTGTAAAGGATACGCAACTAACCTAACAAACACTCACACACACACACACACACACACTCACACACACACAAAGACAGTTAGACAGACAGACAGACAGAACAGTTTTCATTTTATAGTACAGATTATGTCTTTTAATGTTTCCAAAATATTTCACATGTCTTTTACATTTCTCCCAGCATCTCTCTTTCAGAACCTCTTTATTTGATAGTATTTGTTACCATGAAAAAAAACCTATACTTCTGGATTTCCACATATTTGGAGACTGTACGATTTTCTGACTGCTCGGTGATGTATTACGTCTCGCAAGTAAGTCTCTCCCCCCCCCCCCCCCCTCTTTCCCCCCAAATATCCCTGTCCTTTTCCATACAGCATGTTTAATGCTTAATCAATAAAGTGAAAGCGTCCCTCTTAACTACAGCTTTAGAAACTGTCCGTTTTTCCCATTCTAATTACAAATGGACAAACATCTATTTAATAGTGACAATGTAGTTAAGTACTAACATACGTGGTTATTTCGTTCTAGCGTGGCTACGCTATGATAACCTAACCATCTATTTCTTGCTGCACTATATTCTGCCCAACGACTGGGCAAACCATTCAAGTACATGGAAATTACTTTACTATAAATGGTAAATTTTGGAATGTAGTAGAGCCGTCGGCGACCAGATCGCCCATTGGCCCGCCGATATACGACTTCGTCGCCTGTCAGGACAGTATTTGGACCTGTCTGTTGTTGATCGCATCAACACTAAAAAGTGTCTTTTTCAGGGCTCTTGGTAGCGTACAATGCTAAGCTATTTTTATGGCGCACATAACTTAGTCACAATTATAACCTAAAGCTCCCCCTTCGGGGTTGCTGAATGAACGCGCAAAGCACCACCTTCAAATGCAGTAGAGACATTAGGATAGCCATGGTGAGGTTGCTAATCCATATGGTTTGGACACTGTAAGTGGTAAGCTCAGTTTTAGAATCCGTATTTTAGTTAATGAATGTAAGTGTTTTTAGAAATCCCTAGATTTGTACATAGAGTTACGGAGTTTTGTGCTTTGTGCGAAACTCTCGGTGGGTGAACAGACACTCTGCATAAAGACATACAATATATGAGATATATTCTCTATGCGATGGAGTCGATCCTCTCATCATGAGACAATCCCTCCTCACCACCTCCTTTTCCACATGTGGCGGAGAAGATTGATTGAGGAGAGTACATCAAGCAGGAGTATGGAGATTGAGGCGGTAATGGCAGCATTTCGGAGAGGGAGAACTTTTCAGCTGCATTCCCCCCCCCCCCCCCCCCAACGGATCGAATTCGCAAAACATGCAAAGAAAGATTGTTTTCTCAGTATGGAATGGATCGCCGCATCCAGAGATAGTAGGTGGTCAAAGTTACATGGATATTTTGCCCTGGCAATGCCGCCGTGTCTCGGCAGATAGATGGGCTGCACTGGTCATAATTGCGTGGGGGGGGGGGGGAGAGGTAGTACTGCAACTGCACAAGGCATATGTGATCTCTCGCCTGTGGGAGCAGGTAAGAAGAGAAAAATTATACTGAACAGCCGTATCTCAAATAAATGATACATAAGGGAGTATCTAGAGGCTTTGGAAGACTCGGTGGAAAAGCAAGACGAGTAATTAACCAGATTTCAACGCACTTCCAATGGTATCGAAATTCTTGGCTGCTGTTGATAATGATAAAAAGAATTCAACAGGGGAGCATGTACAACAGGAGACCACCGATCATCAGTAGAATATCCTTCGTCGATAATTGTTTCGGCCTTGTTGAATTTACCTTTATATATGCCACTTTACCATGTTAACGCCAGACGGTAGCATATCGTAAGCAGATCTTACGACAAAGCTCTGCCCTGTGATTATTCGTGGCTAGTCGCTCTCAAGGCTGATCCACTGGCCTTGCTGCGACTGCTGGGCTGTTTTTTAGACCTGAGTCTCGTTTTCGGCGTCTCTTATCTGCTGTATTGCCATGTCTCGTCACTCTTTGGCTGTGACTTTGAACCACCAACTGACTTTCCCGACGATCGGTTTGTGTGTAACCCATGACTTCCTTAAAATTCAGTTAATCTTGGGCAGATTCTATCGCATCTTGGACCTTCCATTTGTTACCTGTCTTTAGAGCCGGCTGGACATCTGCCATAGTGGGGCAGCATCATCGCGAGTCTTACCTTGGCAACTTTAAACTCTTCGGTCATTGACTTGAAGGGAAGTAACCAGTTTAGCCTGCTTACAATGCAGAGCCACATGTGGGGGAGGGGGAGGGGGGGGGAGAGGCATTAAATGCATGTCGTAAAAGACAACTAAAATCTTTTTATTCTTCTGTTTCAACATGTAACTTGTTAATGCAGACTTACCAGTCATCAAATTTACCATCTTCAAATGTGGCCGAGCATTCATCTAGAATGGACACGCATGCTGTATCCGTCTGAGAACCAGCAGGATCGACTGTTAATG